GGGATCCTCAAAGGGAACTTGTGCATAGAGTTTTTAAACACATTTTTACACTTTAAAAGTACATCACTCTTTTGATAGAGTTTAAACACATTTTTACACTTTAGTGCATCACTATTGTAACTTTAAAAAGTTGTTGGTTTATTTTAAAAATTGTATCTTTATATGTTTTAATGCTTTTGGATTGTTTATAAACAGTGAGTGCTGTTTTAAATTTGCTGCTCGCTGCCTTGAGTCCCTATATTGGGAGAAAGGAGGGAGACAAGTAAAGAAGATTATTATTATTATTATTATTATTAATATCAACACCCGATGCTACATTTTCTCCACTTAACTCTTCAAATAAATAATGTGCTCTAAATGTGCCTTTTGCAAGAAAGTGGCTGCTGCTTCTTCTGAGCGGTTTGCAAGCGAAGGAGAGAAATGTTGTGCAATTTTCAGTTTGTTTTTTAGTTTTCAAAGCGGTTATCAGCACTTCCGTCAGCGGTTTGCAATGGTGTCTCTTGCTTTCTTGGGCTTGTTTTGTTTCAGAGCTACTAGGCGCCCTTTTCCTTTTTTCTTGTCCTTTCGGTTTTCTTAGAAAATAAATGACACAGACTTGATTCAGAAGAGGAACTTCTCCGGCGCATTTGGGCACTGAGACCCCGAATTTGTGCTTTCGCCCATTGTGCAAATCCCATTCATTTTTCTCCAGAATTAAGTGTTCCCCTCCTGTCTCTACTGCTGCTGTTCAGATGGTGAAAATAATCCTATTGAATGTGGATTGAATCTTTGTTGTTTACATGCATTTCCAATGCACCTGAGCAAATTTTGGTGTGTCTACGCCAAAAAACTCACTTCATTGATCTCAGGTTTTTATTTTCCTGAGTTTTCCTAAAAGATTTGCATGGTCAGCTGTGTGAATAACCGATGTGAACAGACCCTTTGGCTACGTAATTTGTTGTTGATATGTGTCTGGTGCTGTGTTGGGCTGTGACTCTGGAGACCAGGATTCGAAACTTGCTTGGCCATAGAGAAACCCACCAGGTGACCTTGGGCAAGTCACACTCTCTCAGCCTCAGAGTAAGGCAATGGCAAACCTCTGAACAAATCTTGCCGAGAAAAACCCATGAAAGATTTGCCTTAGGGTCGCCGCACGTTGGAAACGACTTGAAGGCACACAACACACACACATGGGCCTTCAAGCCCGCAGTGCAGAAATAGAAACACATGTGCCTTCAAGCCCGCACTGCAGATATAATCCAGTTTGACACCACTTTAACTCCAGTGATTTGAACCCTGGTCTCCAGAGTCATTGTCCAACCCTCAAAACTACTGTGTCACCCTGGCTCTTGGCTAAATAATACTAATACTAATAATGGGGGAGAGGATTAAAATGGCCCAGGTCTTGCTTGTGCATGTCTTTATTTGTTGTCGTTTGTTTGTTTGCAGTCAAGTCAACCCTATGAGTAAGAGTCCTCCGAGATCCGTGATCCTGAACGATGCAACTCAGATCTTGCAAACTCAGAGGAAGCTATAGCTTCCGTGGCTGAATTGTTCCACCTGTAACATGGTCTGCTTTCCACTTTGCTGAGCAGGATTGCTTTTTCCCAAAAATTCAGGTCATCTCCAGGGATGTCCAAAGTACGACAACCTCAGTTGAGTCACCTTGACTCCTTGGAAAAGTTCAGACTTGATTTGCTTAAGACCCTTTCATGGGTCTTTTTAGCAGCCCACGGTATCTCAAGAACTCTTTTCCAGCATCACATTTCAAATAAATTGATTTTTCTTCCTATTAGCTTTCTTTCACTGTGCTTCTGTCTCCCTGGAACTTGGAAGTGAACATCTGGACAGTTCTGGCTTTGGAAAAAGATGCACAACACCCCTCTCCTCCATTTCTAGAGGAGTTTCCCTGACCATGGCTCCTTCCCAAATTTGGGCCAAAGGGACTCTTAACTCTCCAGGAATTGCCCATCCCTGGCCTAGAACATGATGTTGAGGAAAGTTGTGGGTTTCATGGTCACAAATGGGAAAGTGGCGCTTTTGCATTCCCCTGCAGCCTTCCTGAATTAGCTACCTGCCCATTGCTACACCTGAGCCCATGGGACCCTATAACCCTAAAGGATCCTGGTAGGTTTCTCTCCGCCTTGCACCCATTTGAATTTCTGGAAGAGGAGTTTTCACAGTTGAGGAGGGCAAACTACTGAGAAAACTCTTCCCACCTTGCATGCTGAGCTTCCCAACTCTTTGTTGTTGTGGGCCTTCAGGTCGTTCCCAACTTAGGGTGACCCTACGCATCCCTATCGTGGGGTTTTCTTGGCAAGATTTGTTCAGAGGAGGTTTGCCATTGCCTTCCCCTGAGGCTGAGACAGTGTAACTTGCCCAAGGTCACCCAGTGGGTTTTATGACCAAGCTGGGAATTGAATCCTGGTCTCCAGAGTTGTAGTCCAACACTCCAACAACTGCGCCATGCTGGCTGTGTTCCCAGCAGTCCCCGTTACAGTCGTCCCTCCGTTTTTGCGTGGGATCCGTTCCAGACCCCCTACAAAAATGGAAGTTTGCAAATATTAAAGCCCCATAGACTTGAATGGGCACAGGGGGTGCCCATAGGGGGGTACCCCATTGATTTTAACCCCTCCATGAATATGCAAAACTGCAGATTTCAAGTCTGCGAGAATGGAGGGGCAACTGTACAATTTATTTTTGAGGAAGCAAATTCCTATTTGTGCCCCCATCTCCATTAAGCTTAACTGCATTGGAAGGACAGTTTTCTTGGACTAG